ACGATTTCTATAGCGATTCAATGCTTTCAAAATATATACACATTAAATTACTACAAGCACGAATTAATGGAGACTTTGGAACAGTGTTCGTGCCCTCGCATCTCTCCTTAACGCGCTCCACTATTTGCCGCCTGTGACTGTCACAGGATTGCGCTCGCGCTCAGTTCGTCTCACTGACACATTTTTTGAGCAGCTGATATGTTAAAGCTCTTTTTTAAAATCTTGGCTTACATAAATTTCTACATATGCCATGTCATGCCATAGCATCATTAAACTAACATCTAACAATGGACAAAAGTGTATTTTTTCCCTCTAATCTATGGTTCTCTAACCATAAAGGCTGCTGTGTAATTTGCCCCCTGACTAAGCATTTAAAGAATTTAGGGGAAGCATTTAAATAATCCTGTGAATGCCCTTAAAGAATGCAGAATCGAATCATTAATCGAATCGAATCGAATTGAATTGTGAATCGAATCGAATTGAATCGTTCTGAATTTGCAAAAATCGTTCTTGAATCGAATCGAAAACCTATGAATCTAATCAATTCGCTGTCTACCCAAAGATTCATAGCCCTATTAGATATGATACATGGGTGTTTAGATATGATTCGTGGATGATTAGATATGATTCATTGGTGGTTAGGTATGATTTTTGGATTGTTAGATATGATTAATGGATAGTTAGATATGATTCGTGGGTGGTTAGATATGATTCGTGGGTGGTTAGATATGATTCGTGGGTGGTTAGATATGATTCATGGATGGTTAGATATGATTCATGGGTGGTTAGATATGATTCATGGATGCTAGATATGATTCGTGGATGGTTAGATATGTTTTGTGGATAGATGTGATTTGTGGGTGGTTAGGTATGATTTGTGCGTAGTTACATGTGATTTGTGGATAGTTAGATATGATTCGTGGGTGGTTAGATATGATGGATGGTTAAATATGATGAATGGATAGCTAGATATGATACATGGATTGTTAGATATTTTGAATGCATGGCTAAATATGATGGCTGGTTAGATTTGATATAGATCATGTTAGATATGATGGATAGGTTTGATGGTTAGATGATGGTTTAATATCATGTATGGAATGTTAGATATGATGGATTGATGTTTAGATAAATGCATGAGTGAATGTGATAGATTAGTTTATTGAAGTGTAAGAAAACAGATGCAACAGGAAGACTCTGAATGTCAGAAGTTAAATCATTTTTGTTATATGCTGTTACGGTGTATTCTAAGTTGTCTATTGGATCCTACACAGTGGCGGCAATAAGAGGAAGTTGAGTGCAGGCATGGCTCTAATCGGTGGGCCGCCTGTGATCTTCCTGGACGAGCCATCTACTGGCATGGACCCTGTGGCCAGACGGCTGCTTTGGGACGCAATTACACGCACCAGAGAGTCTGGCAAAGCCATCATCATAACCTCACACAGGTAAGCCACAAATAATGCAAATATGAATGGGAAATGAAAAGAAGCATGTTACATCAGAACAAACTTTCTCATTCTCTCTCTGCAGTATGGAGGAGTGCGAGGCGCTGTGTACTCGGCTGGCTGTCATGGTGAACGGCCAGTTCAAATGTCTGGGCAGCCCGCAGCACCTGAAGAGCAAGTTTGGTAGCGGTTACACGCTGCTGGCAAAGGTCCGCGTGGACACGGAGTTAGAGGAGATGGACCTTCAGCTCTTCAAAGACTTCATTGAAAGCACCTTTCCAGGTATTTAAATGACCTGCTTTGTATATCCGCTGGATAGTTTGACGGTTTTTATAACTTTCACTTGATGGCTCTCGCAGGAAGTTTACTGAAGGATGAACACCAGGGAATGGTCCACTATCACCTGACTGACAAAACTCTCACCTGGGCACAGGTACGTCTCTAACACATGCAGTCTAAACATTGTGATGATCCGAATAGCATACTACTATTTCTGCAGTATGTGTACTGCAGACAGTATGCCAATGCTCTCTGTTTATAATATACCCAGACTGACCAAATTGTGAGTTTCCCCTCAATGCACAGGACTTGACCATCCTTTTCCAGTGTGACAGATAAACCAGAAATGATGTCAGATACATTTAAAATAATTTTTAATATTATTATTTAATTCAGTTTTAGTTATAGTTTTTGGGTATTTTTAAACACAATTAAATAATAAATGCACCATAAGTTATTACAATAATGGTTAAATAGACACCATTCAACTGAAATGTATATTGTTTCATTACTGTATTTTATCTAATACTAGACATGATACACTATGTATGCAGTACATATTAGTTGTCCATTTCCAGTATGACAGATAAACCAGAAGTGATAATTACATCCTGCAGTATGTGTACTGCAGACAGTATGCAAATGCTCTCTGTTTATAATATACCCAGACTGACCAAATTGTGAGTTTCCCGCAATGCACAGGACTTGACCATCCTTTTCCAGTGTGACAGATAAACCAGAAATGATGTCAGATACATTTAAAATAATTTTTAATATTATTATTTAATTCAGTTTTAGTTATAGTTTTTGGGTATTTTTAAACGCAATTAAATAATAAATGCACCATAAGTTATTACAATAATTGTTAAATAGACACCATTCAACTGAAATGTATATTGTTTCATTACTGTATTTTATCTAATACTAGACATGATACACTATGTATGCAGTACATATTAGTTGTCCATTTCCAGTATGACAGATAAACCAGAAGTGATAATTACATCTGTAAAATTATTTAAAGGGGTCATATGATGCGATTTCAATTTTTCCTTTCTCTTTGGAGTGTTACAAGCTCTTGGTGC